GTCCATGTCCCACCTCCACTTGAGTGCGGCTCCCCAGACCCCAGCTGGGAAGCAGCCAGAGCGGTTGTAATCCCTTCATCAACTCGGGTCACCCACTATGCTCTGTTTGTGTGGGACGCGCATTTACATGTTCGTCCCCATCTTTCTACCTCTTGGCTCACGTCGAAGCTCCGCCCAGGACTGAGGGTGGGACTGCTTGATGTTCTGTTGACGAGGGCTGTTGCATTCGTCTGGCGGACATCCTCCCTATTTGCTGCTGAGCTCGGGTCTCAAGTGGAATCTAAGGTCACTTACGCCTAGTCTTAGGCTAGATCCTAATTGATTACTAGAAGCAAGTGAAATGCTTCTAATTGCCTTCATCTATTCGCATTTCCTTAAATATGATCTCATGGGCTTTCGCCCATTCAGCAGGTACTAATGTTGCCATAGGACTTGACGTGTGTTTATGTTACTACTAGGCGCTGCACTCGTCCGAGCAGCTGATATGTGTTCCGCATCCTCGATTCGATCTGGCTTTGCCGTCTCAGTTTATGCAAAACATCTACAGGACCAGTCAACGATGTTATCCTCATCTTTTGAATCCCTCAAATCGCCTCAGTTTCCATTGTGACGCATAAAACACTGTGAACATTTACAGCCATTTTTTATGCGAATTCGCATCCTCATTTCCCTACTCTTTTTCCACCTAAACTGTCACCTTTATGCTCATTACTTTTTAGCGAGTTCGTATAGCGTATCCCTACCTATCGCATTTGGATTGTTCATACATTTAGTGAGGAGTGAGGAAGTGAGACGCCGTTGCTTTCCTGGCACTCAATCAACTACGCCATGCAGTTAATAGACAAAGCAGTCGAGTTACGAGACTCGCAAATTCTCAACATTCAATCCTATGAAAAAATGGTCTGGCGAAGGCGATTTATGGCCGTGGCGACAGTAATTACATGGGTGAGCTTAATCGAGGGAAATTGAAACGATGCTAGTTCGGCAGTAGATGTCCTCGAGTTTAATTAGGACTAGCAGTGGCAGAGGGCAGTAAAGAGGTTCTTTTTATAGATAGCCGTTATTGTGTTGATCGCCGCTTTGGCGACTCCAAATTGGGCAGTGTTAGATTTTATGAATACGGAATATCAGCAAGTACATGTCCAACTTGGAGTTTGGGGAGAATGGCGGACTATCACAGATGTTTCCCATAAAAATGGTAAACTCTTAACTAACCAGTATCTCGTTTCACAGTTTCTCTAATTCCCCAATTTTTAGTTGAGTGGATTCCTCACTTTCCTACACCTCCTGAAAATGTGGCTCGTCTAGCTGATGCCGATCTGAAACGTAAGCTGTTGGCAGTTGCAATCCGAAGAGTAGTCTGTTTAGCCATGGTTCAGTGCACAACATTGATTTTTTATTGAAGCAGCGCAGAAAACAAACACGGCAAATTGACGGAAGCTCTTTGCGAGCTTTGAAACTGGCCAACCCCCGTTGAATTGCTCTTTATCTTGATGCAGAGGTATTTAGACTATTACCTAGCGGTTAGAATCTGATCTCGCGAGTTAAAGATTTCTTCGACGCCTTTGAGGGGATAGGAATGGAAAATGCGAAAAGGTTAAAAAGTAGCTTTTTTGCTATTTAGTTTTTCTCCCTAGCCAAAGTTCTGATGTTTGACTATTATATTATACTTATAGAACGGAACATGAATCTTGCACCAAAGTTGTGATGAATTCACTCAAAAAATCTTAGATAACAGTTCTAATATGTATGTCATTTTTTTGGTGTATATAGTTTAAGCAGTTTTATTATACATATTGAATATTTCGCAAAAAAAGAAAATTAAGAAAATGGAAGATTATGAGAATCCGTAAGACATGCGAGATTAGTGCAAATTTATTTTAGTTAAAAGAGTAGGTCATAATCAAAAATAGTGACCGAAATTTAAAAAAAATATGTTTATCTCTCGACCTTCACTGCAGTGCCTTATTATGGCAATGATTGTTATTTTAACTCTACTGAGCGCGTGACCTTATATCGTAAAAAAGAAATTATTGAAGCACGACTTATGTATGTTCCAGCCATATAATCATTTCTTCTCCTTACTAGCCAACAGAGTAGTAGGGCAGCCAAGCCTTTAGAAATTAGCTGAAGGAGCACTCAATGTTGAGCCAATTTTCACTAAGGAAAATAGCATAGCTTCACACTTTACACTTTCGAGTGCAACTCACAGATGTGCCGAAGCATAGGCACATTTAAGTATGATTGGTGTGCGGGTGAAGCCCATCGGGCTGACTTCGAATGGCTATACTGAAGAAAACACTGAACTGAACATTGTTGAATGCTCTTTCTTTAGATTACTATCGAGCTCAAGCAGCCATAGGAGTGATTGCTTTGTTTCTATTGCTATCAACGAACACTCTGGCCCTTTATACCTTCTATCATCATCGATATATCTATAAACGACTTACTGCAGGATTGTTTCTGCTTGTTGGTGAGTCGCTGTACTTTTTTCATTGACAGT